GTCTCCCTGCCAGCCTGGTCACCCCCAACTGTGCCCCTCTGTCGACCAGACCAACCTTACTGCCTCATCCCTGCTGACCTGGTTGCCCCAACTGTGCCCCTCTGCCTACCTGGTTGTCCCTAACTGCCCTTCCCCAATGCTGGCCTGGTTGCCCCTAACTGCCCCCCTCCCCACCAGCTTGATCACCCGATATAGCCTGCTTGTTCAGTCATTTGGTTATCCCTCACTAACACCCCTGCTGTCCTGGTTGTAGGCAGCCATCTTGTGGGGGTGTGAGGTCCATTTGCATATTACCTCTTTATTATATAGGATAGATAACTGGAAAAGAGGCAAGAGTTAAAAGGATGCTGACAATGTAAGACAGCTTATTTCTCCATCCTCTGCACAGCCAACAACGCCTTTACCATCAGTCCTCTTCCCTCACCATGGAACAGGACACTGCTAACCAAGCTTTCACCTTCCTGCAGAAATCCTTTAAATCAGACTGCCCTTGGAACCCAGTGCATCCATGGAACAAAGGACCCTAACAGGAACTGACGCGTGAAAGAGCCAGGTCTCCAAATGCATTACTGCTGCCGCCGCTCCATGGACTTCTCCGGCTGGCGAACAGACGGAAGTAGCTCCTCAGAGCTAACTTGCCAACAGGAGGTCAAAACGCCCTGCCTAAACACAAGACTTACAAATTTGGGATCTTAAGTATGATGTCATGTCTTAAAATGATAAGCTGGCAACGAAAATAAATGGCATTTCGTAAAGATGTGCACCGTTTTCATGTTTACGCTACTTAAGATGAAGGTTCTAATAAGTCATCGGCTATGTTCCTTTAAAGGGAAGTTTTATAACTGAGATGAATCACAACTGCAAAAGATCAAAGTTAGAAAACATCAATGATGCCATGGGGTACTTTTTAATCTTGTAATGAGTGATGATCATGTGCTCTTATGAAGTGAGTCCAACTGCCAACGCCAGATGTGTATATTAAGAAGAGAAGTTGTTTGTGATGTGACAGCGCCGGCTCAGCTGCCAGAGACAGAAAACATAGGAGGATAAAACCGTTCTGATTTTTTAGTGAAAAGCAAGTTTTGGCAGATGTGTTGATAACCAGGGCCTCAAAGGGGGCACTCGGGCCCTAGCATCCTCCCTTGGACTTTGCCTTGCTGCAAACAGAATCGTCAGTTCTGCACAGCTGTCTCCAGGCAGCATGGATACCTGCTCAAGACACAATTTATAATATTCATTAGTGTCATGTACTAATGAGCAGAAATTAGTAAAGCCATCTGCAAGGAAAAAAAAAATAATAATGCACTGGAGAGCAGAATCTAGATGGTATCTATTTCCTGGAAGCATACGATAAACAAAACTCACAACAAACTTCTGATGCTGAAGGAAATTGCTGTAATAAAAGCTAACACTTCATGAGCACCCACTACATGACAGTCGCTGCCCTGTGCACTTCACATACACCGCATCATTCAACATCTTTACAGCAGCTGATGAAGAAGATACTATTACAATTATTCTCATTTGAACAGATGAGCAAACTGCGGCAAAGAGAAGTTGGGTAACTTGCCTGCCACCGTACAACTAATAAGTGGAGTTGGGATTTCTTTTTTTAAAATATATTTTATTGATTTTTTTACAGAGAGGAAGGGAGAGGGATAGACAGCTAGAAACTTCGATGAGAGAGAAACATCTACCAGCTGCCTCCTGCACACCCCCTTCCGGGGATGTGCCCACAACAAATACACATGCCCTTGACCAGAATCGAACCTGGGACCTTTCAGTCCGTAGACCGACGCTCTATCCACTGAGCCAAACCGGTTTCGGCTGGAGCTGGGATTTTAATCCGGACAGCTGGACACCAAAGCCCACACCCTTAATCACTGTGCTCTGCTGAATAACAATCCAGCCAGTTAACCCAGAACTTGTCCTTATTCAGATGGCTGATCTACCAGAAGGAGTCTTTTCAACATTTACTCAGATCGTTAGAGGGAAGAGGGAAATTCTTTAACAGGAATCAATAGTACAGAATCCTCAGCTTCAAACCATTAGTGTAATAAACAGATGTACACCATTTCTATGACAACCATTACTTAAAGAATTACAATGGAGAGGAGGCTAAAACAATTGCATTGTCTTATTTTTCTCCGCTGCTCAGGAAAACCTTTTTCTATAGCCCTTCTCTGTTAATGGTCAATAAAATAAATCTTTCTGAAATCTGGAGCAGCAGTTTTCAACCTTTCTCATCTCATGGCACACATTACTAAAATTCTGTGGTACACCAAAAAATAGATTATGGTTTTACCAATCTGACCAAAAAAAAAATAATAATAATAATTTTGATTGATTCACGCCAGACGGCTATTGTTGTGTTAGCTGTTGTCACTTTTTTATTTGACAGTCTCAGGGAAAAGAGGTCAGATATTGCATATTTTAAAAATTCTTGTAGCACGCTGGTTGAAAATTGCTGATCTAGAGCAAGTGTTGACAAACGGCAACTTGTGTGCCAAGTCTGACCCATCGCTTGGTTTTGTAAATAAAGTTTAATTGAAACACAGCCACAAGCATTCATTTATGTACTGGCTAAGGCTGCCTTTGCACTACAATGGCAGAGGCGAGTACTCCTGGCAGAGATCATATGGCCGCAGAGCTGAAAGTACTTACTATCTGGCACTTCAGAGAAAAAGTTTGCCAAACCATGTTCTAGAGCTTTTGTCATTTAACATTATGTACACACGCCAATCCATCAACATCCTACTATACTCATAGTTGAAAATCCTGGGCATTTTCCACATCCGTGAGACTCACAATTAAAGAACAATATTGGGAAGCATGCAATATTACATGTAGTGCCCAGGGTGGCCAAGAGCAGGGCAGAAGGAAATAACCCAGCACAGTGGGCCCAGGTTGCAGGGTTAAGATGTTACTAATACCAGACCCATCCTTATATCCAGACACTCAGCCACCTCATGATGTCAGAGAAATGACATCACCTTTTCACAGATACTTTTGGTTCTGGAGAAATGTCACTCAGGCTGATCTAGGGCAGTGGTCTGCCACTCAAGATCTGTATCTACTTCCCCCTCACACCCTCAGCAGTACCCACAGCTTGATCTCAAGTCACACACGTACCATCCAGCTCTGCTACCCCTAGTCCTCGCTTCTTTGCCTTTACAGGGCACTGAGCCTATCAGCTAATTCATACTGCCAATAGCCTCTTCGGAACAGAGTCATGTCATCCTCACTTGAAAGAGAAGTGACTTTCTCAGTGCTACCTTTTGTCACATCTTTCAGAATGTGTCAGAACCCACCCTTCCCCGTTTCCTCTCCCACTCATCAGCTTTTAAGCATCAAGTCTTGAGTGTATGAACACACAGATACACACACACACACACACACACACACACACACACACACACACGCACCCTAATGGTTTTTCCAAGAACTGAGAAAAGCTGCTGAGATCGGCAGGAAACATCTTTAAGAGATAAGTATCCTCTCCTGCTTTGTGCCTTACGAAAATGGATGTCCCTGCCTTTTCAGGAACTCAGGGGCTAATTAGATCAAATGTTAGAAGATGTCTTCCATCTATCGTAAGGCTTCACCCCGGATTGATGGCAAGTCCAGAAAAGTCAGGCAAAGCCCCAAACCAGGCAAGACAGCCCTGCTCTGTTCTGTTCACCTGCACTGCATCCCCACTGGCCCCTGTGAATGGAGACTTAGTGCAACCGGAGACAAGCATACGGCGAGCACCTCATAGGACATTCTCCAACTGAACAGACAGGGCCAGCACTGACCCAACATTGGGAACCTGGAAGAAAGCCATGCACATGAAAGGAGAAAGGAAAAACCTCAAAGACTGGCTTCTGAGGCAGGAAACCTCCCTCGTTCAGGCAAGCAGTCAGCTTTTGTGAAAAGAGACAGCCGCAGGAGGAACGGAAGACACCGTATGCTCCCACTTGGGCCGAGGCAAAATTCGCCAGCCCTTTTCTTTCGGTTTTAGGGGAAGAAAGGCTATGCCACTCTCCCTGTCTAGGCAGGTGTATTGTGATATAACAAATATTTCTGCCAGGTGTACCCCCACACAAACCAAATTAAACTCTGAACACAATGGCTAGGTCTCCAGTGTATTCAACTCATCAAAGGCAGCGAGTCCTATGCGATGTTTCCACTGGCACAGAATTTTTCATGTTGTATATGGCAAATAATCGCTAATCTCTAAATACATTTCAATGCTGCTATGCCAAGTCTGTTCAAATCAGTTTGGGGAAGGGGGGAAACCAAACCAGTTTCAATTCAGATGTAGGAGGAAAATGTATATTAGCCCAAACGGGTTATGTGCACTTCTTTAAACTGATGCTGGTTTCATTAAACTTTCTGGATGTCCAGACAGACAAATAAACCAAGATGGATTTAAACCTGGTTGGACTCTTTCTGTTAAAAGAAATTATCTATCACAATTACTAGAACATGACCGAACAACAGTGTTGTAACAATCAAGCAAGTTATCGTTTGCAAATAAATTCTTTGTAATTAAGCAGTGCGCTCTTTATAAAGGGAATTGAGTGGGCGAGGTAAAAAGTTAAAACACATTCTTAGACCATGGGAAACATACGCAAATGCTTTTTGACTAAGCTCAAGAGTTTTCAGTTTATTCTTTTCTCCCTCAGCTCTCGGGGGTCTGATCTGCCCCATCTTATTGGTCCAGTTGGATGAGTAGAATCTCTTAGAAAATAGTTACAGTGAGTGAATAACTATTCACTCATTTCCCAAAGTTATGTAGGCCTTAGCAATTTTGTGGCAGAGGTTAAAAGTAGAATTTCTTTCTCTACTCTCTGTGAAGTTGTACTAACTGTCCCTCACTCACTAAAAATATGTACAGATAACCAATTCGCAAAGGAACTATTTACATGGGAGTAGTACTAACTCATTTGGGATAAATTCCTCCTAGGGCCTGTGCACACTCTATTACCATTTCCAATGGGAAGGCAAGGACTTACTTCTGGGTTCCCGGGGTCCATCCACTGTAACTTTAATAGCTCTGTGATAGGTGGCTACTTGGGGAGGATTGGTGAAGACAGTTATGGTCAGGGTGAAACTCTTGCCTGCAGATGTAAAAGAGAAAAATCCATAGTGAGTATAAAAAGATAATACTGATGACAATATAACAGCACAGATGTCCAAGCTTCATTTAAGTATCTCCAAGTTGGTAATGCAACAAAGAGAAATAAGACGCCTTATTCTAAATGAGAATCTCTTCAATGGCCACTGTAGGAAGTTACTAAACTCAATGAGTGTTGAGAGCTTCATCTTCATTGCAGTACTATACAAGGCAGCTCCAATTTAAAAAAAAAAAAAAAAAAAAAAAAAGAAGGAAAGGGAAGGGAAGGGAAGGGAAGGGAAGGGAAGGGAAGGGAAGGGAAGGGAAGGGAAGGGAAGGGAAGGGAAGGGAAGGGAAGGGAAGGGAAGGGAAGGGAAGGGAAGGGAAGGGAAGGGAAGGAAAGGGAAGGGAAGGGAAGGGAAGGGAAGGAAAGGAAAGGGGAAAGAAAAGAGAAAAACCTGCTCAGTAGCCATAGTTGTAATGAATGAAAACAAAAATCTGGTCCACTTGAAGAAGGTTCTCTTCCTTTCAGTTTTCTCCCACATCAGGAACACATCCAAGTACAGACAATTTTAGAAGTCTTTATTTAGGATTAGGTCATGACCCCTTGAGAGAACAATAGTAAATCACTGTTGATTATGTTATTTACTTCACATGGCTTTAGCATTTCATTTGCTCAACTGTACTACAATGAGAAGATGAAAGAGGAAGGTTCTTATGGGAATCATTTTAACAGGAGCTGGTGTCTCCTGTCCCGGCCTTAATGTGCCTGTGGTATGATGATTTCATCATTACTGGAACAAAGATCTCCTCCTCCCTGCCCACCCCTCCCCTAACGTACATCCTGCTGCTAAATCTTCAAATAACTCCCTGACAGTGACTTATTTTTGCTAACTGTACAGGACACCTCCCAATATAAATATGAAGTTTTGCTTTTAGCAGAGGGTGTGCTTCATGGAAATATTACATCTGAATGTTTCTAATTAATGAACTACAAGTGATGAATGGAGGGGGAAAGACAGGGAAAAGTTTGGTAGCAGATTAGGGTTTCTTTCTTTCTCCAGCAGAGGATACCAGGCTCTGTTACACAGACTCACTGACAGTTGTAATCAGTTAGATTTGCAACGGTTAGTCATGTCAGATAGTCAAAACTGCAAACTGTTACAAGACAGGAAAAGGTGGGCGTGAAACAGTGACTCAATAAAACATTCAGCAATCTCAGGCCAGAGGACTCATTTAGCCTGCTGGGTAACAGACCTTTAAAAAGCTCATTTTGTCTTGCTTTGTTTTTTTCGGTAAGAGACTGTTTTTTTCCCTTTACTGAAAGCTGAGGGTATTAAATCAAAACACAAATCTGAAACAATATGTATCAATGCAAAGTTTAATGCAATCTTTTCAAAGCTTAATATGGAACAGGTTATATACAAGGCTTAATGTGGAACAGGTCTTTGACTGTCAAGTCTAGTGAATGGGTTTTCTTTTCAACCCAAACCATATAAGTTCCTAAAATATGTTTAAGACACACATCATTTGTTACTCAGGATATATATAGTTTTAAGTCTCTTTAGCTATACTTTTCTATACCCAAGAGAAGGAGGGAAAGTGGAAAGAAAACACAGGAATGCAAGGAAGGGGGAGACGAATATTGATTAGAAACCTATGAAGTGCCAGGTTCATACACATGACCTCATTTGATCCTATTCAGTTACGTTTATCACCTCCATTTCACACAGGAAAAAACTGAAGCTCAGAGAGGCTTTAGTAATTTACCCACACAGCTACTAAGTGGAAAAAGTCAGGATCTGAACCTAGTTCCTCCAGACCCCAAAATGAGTGCTCTTCTTTTTAACATTGCCAGAACACATTAAACAAAAATTAATAGGTAATTTATTTCTACATGTGTCCCAAAATACTCTATAAGACCAATAAACAGTAAATATAAATCTACTAACACCATATCTTGGCCAAGATGATAAAAGCATCTATTCTTAGTGTCATTAATGTATCATAGCTCATTATTATATACTGGATGTTACATGGATGTAAGTGGTTTAATTATCTCATTAGAGAACAGGATTTATTATATACATTAAAACTAACCAGAAGAATAAGACAGCCAGGAGTCTAAACTAGTTACAGAAAACTCAAAACCCACAGACATCAAGATTAGAAAGTTGAATAGAAAGCCACTGGATCTAGGTCAGGACCTCAAAACAATGGGAAGATCTGTCCTGAGGAGTGAAGAGGCTGAATCCCTAGGACAAACGTTAATTTACATGAAACCATAAAATAAAAATAAAAAAGCCATCCTGCCGAAACCGGTTTGGCTCAGTGGATAGAGCATCGGTCTGCGGACTGAAAAGTCCCAGGTTCGATTCTGGTCAAGGGCATGTACATTGGTTGCGGGCACATCCCCAGTAGGGGGTGTGCAGGAGGCAGCTGGTAGATGTTTCTCTCTCATCAGTGTTTCTAGCTCTCTATCCCTTTTTCTTCTTCTCTGTAAAAAATCAATAAAATATATTTTTTAAAAGATGCCATCCTGGGTTATATCAATGGTTGTGAGTCAGAACTGCATCTCTTGGAAGGTAGTTGTCATCCCTGGCTAATCTCAATATATCGAGGATGTACTAGCACACATCCCAAGTGTCTTTAATGTCTCTAAATAACCTGCTAGAGCTACTGTCCATGATTTTATCTAAACTGGTTCTGAGAACTTTCCATTTGAGATCTTTGGAACTTATATAGGATGTTAAACGTCACCGATGCTTATCCCAAATTCAGAGAAACACCTCATGGAGGGACAAAAGCCAAATACAGAATTCACTCTGTAAGCATAAAGCTTCTAAATGTTCAACGTGGAACACGTTTTCTATGAATATCTCTTTTAAAAAGAATGGGTTGTGGGGAGGGGTGGGGGATGAGTATTTGATTATAACTACTGTCTTCAAAAATCAAATCCTAAGGATCAAGATGTACTTTAACAACTAAAACCAAAACCAAGGAGGTTCTTTCTACTTCTTTTTGCTCCTTCAGGACGAACATGAATGTAATGCTCCAGACACTACCACCCATCCAGGTGATTGGTTCTTCACCTTACCCTATTAATAATAATACATTTGCTAAGTCAAATGTTTATGTGAGTATTTATTCTTTCCTTAAAGGTAAAAAAAAAAAAGAGTTTTCCAAATCCCATTTTTTTTTTATCACTTTCCATAAAAAATAAAAATTCAGGCTCCTCCTATTTTAAAATGCAGGCTCTTACTGTATCATCCATATATTTTTTTTTCTAAGATAAACACAGAACCTGCCATTAAAAGACAATTCCAACCTAACCTGAGGGGCTCTCAGTCAGCCAGGAAGGCTAAGCCTGTAAGCTGGAATTGCGGCCTAAATGGACAGAGTCCCAGGCTCTGTGTACCGGAGGTGCTTTTTAAAATGCTTATAATTAAAAGCAGCATGCTTGATGTCCAAAGTGAGGAAGCACACTAAGAAAGCTTAAGGACCCAAGGCATCTTACATTCTTCTGTTTAAAATATAAAGGCTAAAAGGGAGAAGACAATGAGAACACAATAAGCCACTCCTAACTGCATGCAGGTTTCACTGATGTTCTACTTTTATGCCAAAGCACTTCCAGAAGTTGCGGTCATGAGATAACCCATAAAGCCAAAGTAAGTAGTGATGTGACGCCTTGATAAATCCAACACTGGTTTTCGGTTTCTGTGAGTTTTTATTTCTACCCGTGAAAAGAAAAACTACAATCATTTGGGGAATTTGGTGTTATTTTTCAAATGCTACTGGAAAGAGAAAATTTTAAATAGCTGGGGAAAAAATAACAGTAGTAGCAGCATACTGATGCAGACTTAAGAATTTAAGAGAAATACAGAAGTGTGAAAATCAAAGGGGAAGATAGAAAGAGTCTATTTGAAAACAGGACAGGTACATAGGCAGGTTAAAGAGCTTCCTGCCACCGAAAAACTGACCCTTTCTTCTTCTTCTTCTTCTTCCTTTTTTTTTTTTTTTAAACAAAGAGTGGTATCTCTTATCAATGTTCTCTGTCCCATTTCACTCTTCATTACAGCTTGATATTACTGTTTCCTTTCATATAATGTTAATGTAGTGATATAAAAATCTATTATTAGTGATAAATCAATTTTTCTTTCTCTCTCCACCCGCTCCCCCGACTCCCCATCTAAGTCTCGAAGACAAGTCTGGACCAATTTCTCCATCCTGCCTCTGGCAGCAGACTGTAGCATTTCAGATCCTCCACCAAGTCCCGGCTGCTTCAAAGGAAAAATCCTACTTTCTTCAGTTAAGATCATAAGAAATATAGGGGGAGGGGGTCAGCTCTGTTTGGACATAATTACACTTCATCAAAAGAAGCTTTCTTCATCTTCCATGCGTGAAAAGTCTGCAAGCAGTTAAGTCTGTCTTTTTTTTTTTTTTAAATATAAAAATTGCTATTTGGGAAACCAGCCAAAACTCAGAAAGCCAATACAGTAAAACAGTGCACACCCTTTGTTTCTCTTTGAAGTTCCTTAAATAAATATGTTGAGGGTTTACAAAGTACACTATCACTTTGCCGTAGTTTCTACTCAAATTGATCAGAGAAAAGTTATGCAGCATCTACATAATACAAAAGCAAGATAAATGGAAACACTAGCTGGAATCTGTAAAGTGAAATAAAGTATAGTGCCTAATCTTTTAGATACTAAAATTCATTACTCCAGTTAACAACAAAGTAATATGACATAAGAAGAGCAATGTACTTCAGAGCATACAGGTATGTCATCATGTTCGAATCTTTCTTGATTCTTACTAGGAAAAAAAAAAAAAAAAAGAAGAAGCTTAATGGTGCTGTGGACCTGCACCAATAGCTGCGAGAAAAAAAAATGAATGAGAGAAAAAAAAAAAAGAATGAATACATACATATACGCACTTCACACCTAATCAGTCAATAGTGAGAGAGGATGTGTCTTTTTCTTTTTTAATGAAAGTAAACTAACCCTGATGCAGAAATAACCCCTTTAATTTTGATTCTACCATAGGCCCTGAGCCTCATTTCATTTCAAACAACCTTTCAGTGACAGTATCTCATTAGCATGCATCATTTTATTTTAAGTTAAAAAGTACAACTTCTTGGCTCTGTTCCTAGAAAGTAAACTAAAACTACTCATCGGAAACAGTCTTGCTTGAATTTCCCTTATCAAGTTTTTACAATGGTAATAATTTGACATCTGATCCAAACTAAAGAGCAATTACTGAGCATAGTTTAAAAATTGATGCTTCTCATTTCCTAATTCAAACCTGGGTTGGAGTAATTCTATAGGTCTTTATGATTTATTTCACCTTAATCCTAAAGTGGTCTATTTTCTCTCTTATTATTGAAATACTTAAAATGGAAATATTAGATTCAATAAATAAATAAATTAACATAATACTTCTAAAGAATGACTATTAAAAGTCTCTCTGTACAGTAAGTAAAGCCAAAAATCAGTTTCCTTAGAGACTTTTAAAAAAACATTCCTATAAAATAGCTATAAAAAAAACCTAAAAGGGATTATTTTCTATTTTATGATCTTTTTAAAGATCCTAATATTTGAATATTAGCATTCAGATGGTATAAACCCTTAAATAATGTGGAAATATTTCAAGTCCTGATCATTTATCTGTCTAGGCAACTATATGTTCATTCTAACACAAGTAACACATTATTCATTTATTCAAATGAAAAGCCTCTTGTTAAAAAAAAAAAACGAACTATTTCTAAATAGAGTTTTATTATAAGAATAAATTAATTCATACAGAAATAACATATGTGATAAGTGATAAGCAGTATACCAACTGTCCTTGCTACCAATTAGAGCAAAACTGGTATTATCAGGAAATTGATCCAATGCATTCATTCCTTTTCTTTCCCCTTTGCCACTAAATTTACTCAGTTGTTTGGCTTCTCATGATTCATAGCTTCAACCTCCAACTGTTCTTCTCTCCACCTTATGTGCTCACACCCCATGAAATTAGGAAAGAGTTCTCTGAAAACCTTGTTTGAATATTCAATATCATAAAACAAATGAAAAAGGCCTGAGCACTCAGAGAAACACTCCGCTTCATCTGGACATATTTAAGTAAAACCTTCAATAATTCAGTTCAGTAGAAAAGGGTGCTGATTTGTATACAGACTAGTCTACATGTCATCAGAGGATCCTAATGTGTTTATTCCATTACCAATATTAAAAATCAGAGACCTACCTCGTCCACTCCGGCCCACAAATCTCAGATCGTTGAACCTTGCTACTTGGTTTTTCATAACAGCAGAGGCATTTCGGAGCTCAGCAGAATAATTCTCATCGTTACCCGCCATGACAGTAACCACAGTCCCATCTGGTACCTCTCCAAGGGCTACCACCTACATAAAATAGGAAACACAGCAGCAATAATGGCACATCAGGAAAGCTTAAAAACCGAGACTGCGTGCTCATGGCAAACGATGTGTTTTGTCAGGACTTAGTGCTCTAGTCCAGTAATGGCAGACAGAAATGAAGCATCTGCACATGGGTTAGGATGCCACTTCAAACAGACCAACGTTGCAGGGTCCACCCATTTCAAAGGCAGGCAAAAGTTCCCTTCATTTGTTGTTGCATTCTTCACGGAATATATATACATTTTTATTAAATCCCCATGTTAGGTTGTCCATAGGAATTAGGCCACAGAAGGAAGGCTGATGCCCCATCTGCAGATTGCATTGTGCATGTTAAGGCAGCGCCTGTCTGCAGCCAGGAGCAGCCTGAGGTGTGGTCACAGGCTAAGAAAGGAAAGTCTAGTCCGCCCTATGGGAGAAGACGTTTAGGTGAAGCCTTGGAGCTCCTGACTATAGGGAGGCCTAAACATGGTGTGGTGTCCAGGACTACGTTCCAGCTCCTTGCTTTGGGTTAGATTTACTTACTGTCAGTCATACTGCAAACAGTTACTAAATGTCCACTCTGCTGGGACTCAGTGAGATATACAGTCACCAAGAAGCATAAAGTCTAGGTCCAGCATAAAGACATAAAACAGGCTGACCATGATGATTGACAAATGAGTTCTGTCTTTTCCCTATCTGACCTCTTGGAATGATACATTTGCCTCCTTAACCTTCCACAGTTAACCTTCGGCATATTAATCAGGCAAATAAGGGCCCAGCATAATCATTCTTTGAGACTAAAACACATTTTCACTGCTCCAAGGCTGGGGATCACACTTCTAACCGAGGTCAGCTAACTTCCAAATGGGTGCCCCGGATGAACATGGCGCCTGGGAAGGGAATGCTGGTGCAGAGCCTTTGCTGTCATGTATAAACACAGTACTCATAGTCCACTACCAGGACACTGACCCTTGATAATGTCCTTTCTCTAAACTAACTTCCAGGATCCTATATCCAGATTACTTCCATCTCTTCCACACTCTCTGACATTGACATCCATATATGCTTGCCTGTTTGGCAAATATCCCATTCCTCTATAAGGCAAACCTAAGCATTTAATTCCCTGCTCCCAATACAATTCATACTTGCTCTCATCAAAGCAGAGTCCTCAGATTATGATAAAACAGACACTGTAACTGTACTTTGGGGTTTAATTTCTCCTACCCATGAACCCTAACTCAATACTCCTTTGCTCTACCCTCTGCTCCAGTCAAGGGCGTGGAGGGGAACAATGAACTTGTCATTTTTTAACCCATGCTTTTGTCTTAGGCTATTTTTCAATTCCATTCCTTCTTTAGCAGTTTGTTATTCAGTTTAAAATTCTAGAGCTTTCCTTAAATTACAAAGCCCACTTCCACAGCATTCCACCTTGCTCAAATAATCCTCATTTCAATGTGCATGTATCAATAATGTATCTACTCCTTTTGATATACTAGCCCAAAACTGAGACTCACTCCTAGAAGTCCAGATTTATGTTATGCTGAAAACTATAAGAGGGAAGGGCCTTTACCTGTCTTGCTCAGAACTATGCCCAGTTCCCAAAACTGCTTGGCAAATAGTAAGTGTTGGATAAATACCTTTGAAATAAACAAATTAAAGAGCTCTCCCCCCCACCCACCCACAAAAAAAGCATCATGTCCCACAGCCAGCAGTCTGTGAGGCTACCAGATAAAACTCTACGAGAGAGACCCAGTTAAAGGTTGACTCAGCACGCCTCATTAGAGGCAAGTGCCCTTCCTTCAAACTAGTTTTCTGACAACTTTTTCCATCCCAGAGGAGGGGGAATCACGCCAAAGATCCTTTACTCATCATATATGGTTACTCTCTTCAATCTGAGAAGAGTCCCAGGTCAAGGGTAAATGCCTTGAGAACATGACTTCCTCCCTGCATACTTGATCTAGTGCCTCAAGTGGCTACAGACCATGTAGGTAATGCTGTATTGCTGATGGGGGCAATGGGCTTTTCAATTTTTCAAACTCACAATGCCAAAAATGTGAACATTTGAAAATACTGAAATAATTGACTACAGTTGCCAGGATTCGTCTCAGTGTTGGACATTTTTTTTCACACTCAGCGTATTGCGTTTTAACACCTGCTGTGTGTGTGGCATTCTATGTCAAAATAAATATGGAACCAGTAAGGGTACTAAGGAAGGTGGAAAAGCTGCACTGTTTAGAAGAGAATGAATGCCCCCAAACTCAAGAGGCCCTGCTTTTTCCCCACCTCTGCTATGATCTCATACACGTCACTTCATCTCCAGGAACCACAGTTTTCCAACATACATTGGAAATAACGTTTTTAAGTCTGTAAAATGTAGAAGAAACTGTATAAGTATAGAGTGTAATTGTAATGATGTACTTTTTGTAAGATGAGGAGGCTCACTTCTATTCCAAGTCTGCTATGTGATAAATATAGGCTTTTACTTGGGAGCATCCTTAAAGGATTCTATTGAATATGTAATTCTTCACTTTATGTCCTGGGATTTTTTTTTGTTGTTGTTGCTGTTGAAAGATAAAAGATAACTGCTGATGGGTTTCTCTCCAGTATGGCTAAATTTCAGAAGAAAGTAAAGAAATCTGCTCCAATATGAAGATTTTCAAGAGCTCTGGGACATTATTATTTTACTGCATATTTTTAACATAATGGGGTTTTTTTTTAGTTAGAAGAAAAGGAAAATTGATTCAATATGGGAAAATATGAAAGAAAAGGTCCCTAAGAGTGAAATACATAAATCCATTTACTTTGCTTGAGCAGCATAATAATGACCATATTAAATACTGGTATGTCTTACGTATTACATTTAATAAGAAAACAAATAGGTAATCACAAACTGTGAGTCTTCTACGAGGTTTAGAACTTGGCCTTTAAAAAAAATGCTAACTAAAATGATATAGTGACAACTTTTCCTGTTATGGCTGAACTCTATTTTAATGGTTAAATATATTGGGTTATTTTTTTTTCTGCTATATACGCTACCAAATCATATTGCCTAATGTTTTGTTTTTTGTTTTTTCTGAGGGAAAGGGGGAAGGGGGTATTATATTTGAGTTTATACCAGTCAGAAGCGAAATTATATGTTTGAGATTTTTTTATAGTAGATTTCTGAAGCTAAAATGTTTCCCTTGAAGATTTTCAACTATGTTTATCTAAAAGAAAACCAAAAGAATCAAGAAATTTTTGCACATTTCATCTGTACCAAACCCAAGCAATGGAAAACATTTTAAGGGGCAGAGAGAGCAGACAAAAATTGCTCCTTAACCAGTTAGGAGTAAGCACACATTCAAGTTTGTTTCCGTGCTCCCCGATACAAAAGTTCTGTTCTACAGAGAATAATTTGTGATGAAACCTTAACAACTACATCTTTAAGTGTTTTTAAAACATAAAATCTACAAATTCAAGAAACTTCATGGGAAAGAGAAGTCATTTTACGTCCTGGCATTTCAGACTTGAGAAAGAAGTTCCTTTATTTAGCACACCTCACTATAACCAGTATTTAAATCACATGATATGCAGCTTGTACAAAATAAAGGATATTTATTTAACTCTAGAAACACTACTGAAATTTTGTATAAGATTCCTTATGACTAAATCTGTAAATTACTTTGAAAGAGGAGCAGTAGAGAATTAACTCAGACTCTTAAAATTGTTTTTGTGGTCTTATTATACGGAAATAAAAATTGCCCATTACATTTCCATGAACAGAAGTCTAGTCTTAACTAATCAATTACTCTTACAGACCAATATGATCTGGCATGTTGTACTTGCAGCAAAATTGAAATATAATTATTTTTTAATATAGAATCTGATCAAATCTTCCTTTGAAATAAAAGCAAGGTATGGAAATAGTTGCAACAAGAGAGAAATTTAATCTTATGGTAATTATTTAAAGATAACTTTAAATAAACTATCAAAAACTTTCACAAATAATATTTCACAAATATTACAGTTAATTTTTCAAGTTTAACCTAGAATTTAGGAACACCCATTGAATGGAAGAGAACAAAGCAAATACAATATAAAGTGTCATTTCATAATTTTTAGAATAAATGTTAAAGAGAAAATAGATTAAAATTACTGCAATTTAAACCAAGAATATATGTGCCAGGTTTTAAGTTGGTTTATATCATCTAACAATGGATATTCTGAAAATTTTTTGAAGGATACAAACATAGCAATGACAAAGGGAAAATATAATGAAAGATACCTTGTCATGCCTATTTTCAAATGTAAGTTTTCTAATATTTATTTTCCATCTAAAAGTTTTTATTTCAATTACTTTACCAATATGTCTTATATATTCAATATTAACATTTTTAATTTCAAATAATTGGATTGTATTTAAAGGCATAACACAAAAAATGTGTCTATCTTCACACAACTTGAAATCTATTGTGATTTACATAATTTTGCCTAACAGTTCATGGTAGGCTTAATAAGGTATTAACTAGTTTAATAACCTGTTTCTCTTTGTTTAGGTATAATTATATTAAAAAGACACAAACATAAAAGTCTGATCATTCAATATGTAAGGAAAATACAACTCACTGGTGTCAAATATTTATTAGTTGCATATTTGTTTCTGAAAATAGGCCAATGATGTCAAAAAAAATTATTTTCAGCCCATTGCTCCATCATTTTGAAACCCTACTTATGACAAATACTGAAAGCTATCATTAAGCATACAGAATTAACTATGAGTAATGGATCAAATATCTAAAAATGTGTTTTCTTTAACATTGCCAGAAAAACATATGATACTGGTAAATATATAGTGCAATGTTCTCTAACTTAAAACAGCACAATCACTGTGTGCTTACTATAGTTTTAAAATGTACATCTGGATTTAAAATTTCTGCATAGTGTTTCAGCTTGAAGCTATTTAAAGCAACTGAGTTATGAACCCTGAACACCAGGCTTCATGGTGGAAATGCTGACAGACCCCTCACTGCAAGGGTGCTACTGGATGCAGAGATGGCTTACTCTCTTCTTTCCTATCTGACCATTAACTAAAGGGATGAATTTGCAAACTGCTTTTTTGTCACTACAATTTCAAGGACAGAAAGGCCTGGGATCCTCTAATAGTATGTCTTAACTATTTTAAGCTTTCAGTGAGATACACCTGAAAGAAATGTTAAAAATATTTATTTCCATTTCCTTGACACCTGGGAGGACTGAACGTTCCAAAACTGCAGAACTTTGTTAAAAATACAATGCTTATAAACAACTTTATATATTTTAAAGTATGCTGGTGTTGAGTAGAAACGAATTAAGAATTCTTGTTTAATCCCTAAACAAGATCAGGTGGATAATACTAACACTTTACTTAGGACTTAATACAATACGTTGTTAATATCACTTTGAAGCACTATTTTAAATGAACATATCAATGCACAGTTCATTGAATTCATTTCTGATTCTCTTACAGTGGTGAGCTCAGTGTCACAGACGTAAAATACAGGCTCAATAAATACTGTATTGATGTGAATATCAGATTTCTCAGCAATTCCGTTCTCTGTGTGTTTGAAGATATAATATGTACCTGTTATCTACCCAATAACACTATAATTTACTTGGCACATGGCTTTATCATATCCAAACTGTTCTCATTACTTTTAAAACTGGGACTTCTTCATGTTATTTCTTCATTATAGATGTATTTGGTTTTGTTGCAAGTGTGGGAAGTCTACTGCTCTCAGGCTCTTATCTCAAGAGAAAGGTAAAGAGAGTCTGCTGTTACTAACATTCAGATGAAAACAGAAATTGTTGCCTATATCTGGATGTTCCAAATATCTACACATTCTTTTCAGCAGAGACAAAACTTCTATATTAAGTGGACCTCAGCTATTACCTACTATTTGAATTCTGTTAAACACAGATATGGGAGTTCACATTTTAGGTTAACTCAATTTCTTTTTCAGTTGATACGTTTTTAATATTTATTTTAATGTGGTCATGTGTTATCTATGGTTTTGTTTGCTGATTACAAGTAAAATCACCCTAAGTAACCATAAATATGATTAATAGCAAAGAAAGCAATTTCTTTTTAAAATAATTTTTTAAAGGGTGGTGGGGCACAGAGCCCTCTGTGCAACCAAAATCTGAGAATAGGTCAAACTAATTGCATCCTATCTGTGTGCCAAAAACACCCTTTCTATCTAAAATACTAAAGTTCAAAATCAATTCAGCATCATGAATATGAAAAAAATAGTTCAAAACAGTTATACCTAACCATGTTTGGCAGAGCAAACAGAATGCAGACCACCAAATGTCTAATTGTTATCTTTAAAAATGCAGGCACTTATCCTTAAATTTTCACATAACTTGACTTGTGGCATTGTATAAACAACATATATGCTTATTATACAGGTTTTTGGGGGGGATGTTTGGGGTTTTTTTGGGGGGAAGAGGGTTGGAAATAAAAGCTAATTAGAAAATTCTGAGCCCTTGGACGAGGAACATTGTAGAAGATACCTTCTGTACAGAAATTTAAGATGCTACACTATTCTGAGTTTTTCAATAAGAAAACAACCTACAGAATGGGTGGTTTATAAAAGGAGACATGGGACGGTTAGAGCACTCACACATACATTTCTTGAGCCAAGTGCAAAATGAAACTTGCCCCAGAATGCAGCATCCCCTGTCCATAACAGTTCACTCTGATTTCTGTTCTGATAGAAGACCCAGGGAGATAACCAGCTCTAATTGACCTGGACTCCTCTCTTTCCACCCACACCCACACATGGAATCTCAACTGACGCCTGGGGGGACGGGGGAGGATGGGGGCAATCCACAACTGGGAACTGCCAGTAGCCTTGGGAGTCTGGCCCCAGGGTCCACAGTGAAGAATCTGTCATGATTCCCCCTTTTTTTTTTCACCCTTACCCCATCCCCTAGCTACCCTGCTCTCCTTAGATCTCAGAGCCCATGGGTCCAGGCTAGATGGGGCCAGAAGCAGCGGCTTTCGGAGGAGGCTCTTCTCCGCGGATGGCTCCACCGGGCGGCCCCCTCCATGCCGGAGTCTAGTCCCGCGACTGCCCGGGAACCAGCTTCCCTTCAACCCAGCTCCGCCCTAGGGGCCCCGAGTCTCCCCCAGGCCAGGGCTGCCTGAGCAATTGGGGACGCTTCACTGACACCCATCAGGCTACTGTTCTGGACCCCACACCCTCAACCCGCCGGCCGATGCCAGGCGGCACTCGCTTCGGACACCCGCCCCCAAACTAACGGCCCGGAGGCGGCGGCGGAGGCCGCGGAGGGCGCTCCCAAACCCGGGGTCACTCCCTCTGCACCCCGGCCCCTCCGCCCGAGCCTCCCACAACCTTACAGAAACTAGGAGGGAGCTTCGGGATCCAAGTCCTTTAGAAGGAATAAGAGGCGAATCCGCAAAAATTGTCACTCCAATTTCCAGGCTGGTAAAGGGAAAGCATCCATCCCACGGGTTTCCCGGTCCCCCCGCCGCCGGGCTGGGCGCAGCGGGAGCGGAGTCCCGGCGGGAAGAGGCGGCCCGAGCCCCCGCCCCCTCCGCCGGCCCGCGCCTCCCGCACTCGAGGGTCCGACGCCCGCGCTTCCCGGGCTCCCCCGCCTCGGGGCGCGCTGCGACCCCGGCGGCCCCGCCTTCCTTCCTCCCGGCGAAGGGAACGGGCGCGAGCCTGCCAGCCGAGCGAATACCCCGGTCCTGCCTCCCACCTCCCAGGCTCCCGCAGGGCGAGGTCTGCCCGCGACCCTCTGGGGCCCCGGGAACGCGGCCCACGCGCCGCCGCGGGAGCCCCGCCCTGGGCGCGAACTGCTGGAGCGGTCACCCAGGGAACGCGCTTCCCGGGAGCCCGGGATGGGCCGGGGCAGCTGGGACTAAGCGGATCCGATCGGGGACTCCCAGACCGGCCGGACGCGAGGACTCCCAGGAGGGGCCGGCCGGGATGCCCTGGGAGGAAGACGCGGGGCGGACCGGGGGAAATGTGTCCCGGGGATCCTCACCCCTGGGAAATGGGGGCGGGGTGGCGGCGCCAAGAGTGGGCACCTGGAGGCTCTGGGGGGAGGGGAGGCGGCTGAGGAGTGGGTGAGAACTTTTGCCCAGGAGGCTCGAGGGGGTGATGAGCAGATGGAGGGGACACGGACTGGAGGTGGCGGCTGAGGGCACAGGTGGGAGAGAGAGGGATCTGTGCGGGGTCATTGCGCTTAAGCCCGCGGGGAGATCCGGAGGAAAGGGGGCCATCCGGGGGGGTCCCTCGGATCTGAGCCTCTAAGATAGGCGAGGCCTGAGACCCTATCCGGGCCCCGGTGGTCCCCGTGGTCTCCGTGGTCCAGGAGACGCCGGCGGGCAGGTCCCGCGGCGCCCGGCCGGCCGGGGGCGGGGAGCAGCCGCCGCAGCTTCTTACCTTGAAGGCCACGGGCAGGGTCTTGTTGCAACGCCAATGCGAGGGCAGCACGGAGCACAGGAAGTTGGGGCTGTCGGTGCGGACGAGCTCGGCCGGGAGGTCAGCTATGATCTCCACCATGGTGCGGTTGTCGTGCGGCGGCCGCAACCGGGGCGCCGCCGCCGCCGCCGCTGCCGCCGCCGCCGCCGCGGCCGCCGCCTCCTGCTGCTGCTGCTGTTGCTGTTGCTGCTGCTGCTGCTGCTGCTGCTGTGCAGCCACCACCGGGCTCACGTCGCTCATCTTGCCGGGCTGCAGGCTGCTGGAGGGGGGGCTGAAGCGCCGGCTGGTGCTCGGATCTACGGGAATACGCATCACAACAGCCACAAGTTAGCGGAGTGGCCGGGGGAGGGGGAGGAGGGTGGAAATGAGGGGCGAGGAGGAGGAAATTGGGGGGTGGGGGGTGGGGTGGAGGCGAGACAGGGGAATGAGGATGGAGGTGATGGGGCTCCGGAGGTGAGAAATCAAGTCCAAGGAAGCCGGCTGCCGGGCGAAGTCTGTCTGTCGGGGGCCGGCGGTAGCGATGCGGTGCAATCAGGTTGGCGGGCGGGGAGAGCCGGGAGGCGCCGAAGATCTTTTTTGCCGGAGTGCCTTTGGGACACCGGGGTGGCAGCTGCGACCGGGTGCGGGGCTGTGTTTGACCCGAGGATGTGTTTGACCCGGGAGGTAGGGGTGGGTGGAGGGGGGGGGGCGCTTTCGTTTGCAGCGCGGAGTGGGGTCTCTGGGGGCACAGCGTCCTGGGTGCGCTGGCGACCCCTCCCCGAGTGAGTCCAGCGGTGGAGATGAGCGGTTTCAATCCAGATCGGGGACCGGCATCATCAAGCGCTGCCCGCCGCCGCCCGCGGGCTCCCTCCGGCCCGGGCTGCCTCCTCCTCCCCGCGGCCGCCGCTCCCCCGCGCCGGCTGCGCGCTCCGAGTCCTCCCGCCGCGGCTGCCGGCCGGGCTCCCCGGCTCCGATCGCTCCTTCCTTTCCCTTCTCCGCTCTCTCTCCCTCTCCCGCCGCCTCCTCCTGCTCGCGTCCACTCGCTCCTGCTGCTTCTTTGCAAAGTTGCCCTGACCCCCGCGCTCCGAGGCGCCGGGAGGTGAGTCTCGGGCAGCGGATCCGGGGCGGCGGATCCGGAGCCTCCGCGTTGGAATCGCAGCCGCTGCCGCCGCCCGCCGGCCGCGGGAAGGAGCCCCCGGGACGCCGAGCGCCGCCGCCGGAGCCCAGCGGCGCCGGGTCTGCAGGGATCCCGCCTGGTCGCGTCCTCTGGCTCCTCCAAGCCTCACCCCTCACCCCCACCACCCCCACCCCGGGGCAAGGAACCCCCTCTCGGTCCGAGGAGGTTGCAGCGGAGACGCCAGAGAGCCGCGGGCTGATCTGACTGTCGGTATTTTTTCGTTGTAACTTCAGGAGAGGAGGAAGGAAAATTCTTGAGTGACTGTGCTGACTTCTCAGCACTCGTCACCCTTCCCCCACCCCACCCCCACCTCTGCCTGAGTGGTTCCCGTGGGGGGCCGGGGGAGAGAGAAGATTTTTGCAGGATTTGGGGTGGGGTTTTTTTGTTTTGTTTTGTTTTGTTTTGTTTTAAGTGACACGAAAAATGGGGGCGGGGGTGCACGCGTCAAAATAGTTTTAGAAACTGAAGTGGGTGGCTGGACAGTTTTTTTTTCTTCTTCTTCTTCTATATTCAAACTTGTTCCTAGAGAACAAGGATGAGTTTTGGGGTTTTTTTTGTTTTTTTTTTAAAGACTGGAAAACTGTCATCCTGGTGATTTCAATAAGTTGCAAAAACCTTTGCTGGGGAGAAACTCCAGCAGTTTTCCATCCATTTCATCTTTTAATAAGTCGATTCTGCATCTAAAAATTAATGTCTTTACTTTCTTTCCCACCATGCCCAGGCCAAAAAAAAAAGTAAAAATACAAAATAAAATATTCAAAATGCTTCGACGGGTATTTATTTATGTATTTATTTCCCAATGTGGGTTTCAAAAGCGACTTTGGATCCCCCAAAAAGTTGTGGTCGAGAGGATGAAGGAGCACGGGGTGGGGGAAAGCGGCAGTTTTACCTAAAATGTGGTTTTTGGAGGCTGGGATTTCTAATGATTAGGTTTTTGTGGTTTATATAGACACGGCTCTGGCTGAGGCAATCATTACGCTGATGAGAGTCAGAGGCACGTGGGTGTCTCCGAGACCAGCCTCAAACCCTGAGCCTTCAAAACAAATACAACAATGTGTGGCGCCCACAAAAGCCTGGAAATCCGCTTGAGGCTTTTGCGCCTCTGAGAAGGGGGCACCAGGCCGGGTGCCCTCCACGTCGCGCACCGCTAAGCTCCCTGCTTGCTGTCAAACTCCTTTAGACCTCCCAAAGCTCTGTGAAAACGTGCTTGCAAAAAGAAGCCTCCGTTGTCAAAGTTTCCAGGATTCCCAATAGGGGAGCTGACACTGTAATAAGTGATCTTATCAATAAATGAGAAATTAGAATGCCTCCAACTCCGGGTATTCAGGAAGCAAGATAGTTGATAAATATCAATATCCCCCGTACACACACATCTTATTTAAAACAATGGGCTTCCCATTAATTGGTGTTTTTATTGCTCAGCATAAACGCCTCTCTCACCCCGGTAACCACCGGCCAGGACCCTCCCTCTGGGCTGTCAAAGCGCTGGTCCCCTCGCTGAGCCTGCGCCGGGGTCTGCGCCTTTGAAGGGGCCTGGACGAGCTTGAAGAGTTTGGCGGGGAGGAGGATGCGGCACGGAAGAGAGGACCTGGAGCCTGTCGCAGATTCTAGAACCCATTACAAGCCCAAGATGGCCTTGGGGGGCTGTCGTCGCGTGACTTAGACCCCAGGACTGGTCTCTGCAAAGAGATGCGCCAGGGAGCGGTAGAAAGGGGGGAGAGGGGGTGGCTAGGCGGGCATCCTTCCCGGGGGTCAGGATGCGGGTTCAGGGGACACCACGCCACTCTGCCTCTTTGATTTAATGTTACATTCCCTTTCTCCATCCCCAACTCCACGCCCCCCTTGTCCGCATTTCCCTTTCCCACTTTTTTTTTCCTCCCCTCTGCCGCCTCTCCCCAAAGTACCCCCCCACATACAGAGACGCGAGTCTCCTTGCCTCGTCCCTCCAGACACCTCGGCCTTCCCACGGCCGCCAGCCACCCTCCTAGACCAGGAGAGGCATTCTGTGCCACCCACTGTGACAGCAGCCCGGGTGGGTCTACCTGCTTCGGGGCCCGCAGGGCGGGAGACGGGCTTGCGCGGCGAGGAGCGAAGCCGTCTGCAGCGCGTGCGATGGTTAATTATCGTTTCGGTCACAGGGGAGAGCTCTAACCCCGGGCACCGCGCCGCCGCCGGAGCACCGGGCAGCGCGCGCCCAGCCCCGCAGCCACCCCGCAAGGGCAGCGGCTCACCCCGCACAGAGAACCCCTAAAGACCAGGCTGCAGCCCTCCCTCTCCCACCTTACACCCACCCGCCAGCGCTCAGACCCGCACGTTCCAGCAGCCACACACTGGCACTCTTAACTACACGCACAACTCATGCACATGGATTTTTTTTTTTTTTTTTCCTTTTCGCCTTTTCGCCTTCTAGCCGGGCCGCTTATTTACTTGGGGCACGTTATACCACTGTCTAACAAAGATTTCTGACTTGTTCAGTATTTTTTTTTTTTTAAGAAGTGGCGCCTGCAAAGGAGGGAATAAGTTACAGGAAGTGGATTATTTCTGTGGTCCAAGAGAGACAGAAATGCAGTAGCTACCATCATAGGTGATATGCCACCTTATCCGGGATTGTCCTTATCTCAGGAAGTCCACGGAACTGGGAACTCCCAGACAATCTGAAGACGCTAAGTAATAATGAATATTTCAGTTATGAGCAACCAAACGAAGCTTTTTTGAATGAGATAGTCTAAAGCTCTTTGGATTTCAATAAGCGTTTGGGAGGCTTTACCCCTTGCTCAGTCGCTGTTTTGTCCTTTGTTTTTCTTGGTGAACAGCAAGATGTGCAGGCCCCTGTGGCTGAGTACTCTGACTCAGGATTTTTTGGGGGGACAATTTAACCAATGGTAAATGATGTATTTTAATTAATCACATCTGGTAATTCACCTTTAAAGCCTTCCTCGGGCACCCTCCCTCCACTTCATGTCCATGGAACTAATACAAGCAGCTCTTGGAAGTTACTAGTCTTGGATCCCTTCAAATATCCTACAGTTATTTATAATGTGGAAATGAAATTTTCCACCAAATACCCTCACAGCATTTCAGGTATCTGGCACAGCAGATTTTCAGTCTTCTTCCAAAATGTCCTCTTGCTGAACATTCACACTTTCAACTAGAACTGACGGGGCCTGGAACTGATGATGTCTTGGCTCAGAGCATTGTACTTAACGGAAGAAAATATTTTTGCAGACCACCCTAACCCAACCTCTCCTGGTAATAGTAGGCACATAGGAAAACGTTGACATTTTACGACTGAGTATCTTGTGCTGTAGTTTGCATGATCTCACTCAGGTTTAGATTTCCTTCACCCCAAAGTATTTGGAACAAATCAACCACTAGATTCCTCTTCAGAAATATGTACCTTCTCTGTTGTGTGTTGTGACATTAAAAAAAAATCATACATATTTTTCTGAAAATGTGGCTACTCTAGGAGATATAGCATACTTTTCTCCTTCATGTCCTTTAACTCTTAATATCACTGTTTAGTAACAACATCTGGTAAATGAGATGTGAAATGATCAAGCTATATAGTCAAAGAACTGAATCCTTAAACTGGGAACAAAACCCATGCTTCTTCCATTCAGGTTTCATCTTCTAACCCCTACTCATTATTTTATAGATACTTTTTCTTGATAAAAAGTGAAAACGCTCTGGCTGGTGTATAAGTGGTCTCATGCATTGAAGGGTCTTGGATTAGATTCCTGGTCAGGGTACATAGCCAGGTTTCATCCCGGTTGGGATGCTTATGGGAGTCAACTGATGAATGTTTCTCTCTCATACATCGACACATTGATATTTTTCTTTCTCCCTCTCCCTTCCTCTCTTTCTAGAATCAATGAAAAGAACATATTCTCAATGAGGAAATAAAAAAGTGAAAAAGTCACTGTAAAATCTTAAAATTGTTTTCAATGGACCAGCTAAAGTTGGATAACCTTTTCAGATGTTCAGTAGAAAACCATGGACACATTTATGATCCCTAAAGCTTTTAGATGTAATATCAGAAAATGTTATAAACAGAACCATCGTTGGGGAGTTTTCCTTTGGACGGTGATTGAAGTAAGGATACCTCGCCCTTGAAGAAGTAGTACGGCCAGCACACCAGGAGCTGTCATACTGCATA